AAATAACTACCTGACATTTAGAAGACATCTTAAGGCAGCCCTGTTCAGGGAAGTTTTTAATCTGTGATATTTTACTGTATTTTTGGTTTCTATGGAAGCCGCCCAGAGTGGCTGGGGAAACCCAGCCAGATGGGCGGGGTACAAATAATAAATTGTTATTATTATTATTATTATTATTATTATTATTATTATTATTATTATTATATATGAAAATGCATATGCTTTATACAGCTTTCTGGATGTATCATTGATGTATTTTGAAGACGTTCTGGTTAGTAAAGTTTTAAATAACAATTATGGGTCTGGGCAATCTTTAATCCTAAAGCTGGTGCTAATAATCTCAGAACAATTATGTGAAAAAATAAATATATGAACCAAAATAATTTTGATTGCAGCTGATTCTTTCATTCTGTTTGACTACTCCTGTAACCATTCACCTAGAGAGCCGCTGCATTTTCTCCTCCGAATACTTAACCTACCTTTGTTTACTTAATATTTGCTTAAAATATTATTAGATCTGCTTTTTTCCCTATCTCTTGAAGGAAAATAAAATGAAGAATTTGAGTGCAGAGGTGGATCTACTAAGAAACTAATGAAGGTTTCAGGGCCGCTAAACTTGGAGGAGTCCCAGAATTGAATTTAGTCCACATTGCACGACTCAAATTGATTATTTTTGTTGTTGTATATATTTCAGCAATCCCAAAGTTAGAGATAAAGGTTTGGTGATCTGCAGAACAAGCCCAATGAGGAAAAAAACAGTGGTTTACCCAGACCTCATCTCTGGTTGCGAAGGGGCCTCCTGTAACAGCTCAAGCTTCAGGGCTCCCAAAATGTTGGTCCCCCACTGCTTGAATGGAATTTAAGAGAAAGAAACTTGGGTAAGCTAGTATTGTTAACACTGCTTGCTAACATAAGTTGAATATGAGCTGAAATATGTTCTTGGGGCTTCAAAGCGGTTACACTGGGGTTGAAAGAAAAGGCAGGGTTCTCAGACATGACCTAAAGTCAAGTGTCTTGCTATGTAGGAACTCAGTTGAAGAAATGCTGGCCTGTAGTGATAGAGTGGACTTCAGACAGTTCAGATAGCTTTAGAGTAACTTAAAAGTCAAGAAAGGGGTATTTCTAAAGTTCAAACAGCATAATGTATAATGTCATGAAAATGAAACAAATACAATCGTACCTCGGAAGTCAGATGGAATCCATTACAGAAGTCCCTTCGACTTCTAAAACTTTCAGAAACCAAGGTGCGGCTTCCGACTGGCTGCAGGAAGCTCCTGCAGCCAATCAGAAGCCATGGAACTCATGACGGACATTCGGGTTCCAAAGAATGTTTGCAAACCAGAGCACACAATTTCAGATTTACAGTGTTCGGGAGCCAAAACTTTTTTTTTTTTTAAATGATATTTATTAAAGTTTCAAAAAATACAAAAAATACAGAATACAGAAAGAAAAAGAATAAAGTTTTTTTTTTAAAAAAAAATATAACCAAAAAAGTAAAAAATAAAAAGAAACATACCAAATAAAACAGTTAAAAGGACATTAATTTTCCATAACCTATCTTCCCTATACTTATTTCCCCGGACCTCCTCATACCTCCCTTTTTTGTATTCCAGTTCAATTTGTTAGTTCAGCAAATCCTTACCATTAAAATTACCCAGTTGCAAACCTTTTTTCATATCTCTTAAAGCATTACAGCTAAAAACCTCTTAGTTTCTATCCAACATCCTTCTAAGAATCCTTAATTTTACAATATTTCTGTAAATGGTCTTTAAATTTCTTCCAGTCTTCTTTCACCGACTCTTCTCTCTGGTCTCGGATTCTGCCAGTCATTTCCGCCAGTTCCACGGGAGCCAAAACTTTTGACTCGCAAGGCATTCGATTTCCGAGGTACGGCTGTATCGGCCTTCAGTCAAAATCTGAAACTAACCCCCCTTTCTTCTCAGATATTCTTTTAAGTTAAAAAATCAGCAGCAAAGATAATGAGATAATAATAATAATAGTAACAGATTTATTTATTTATTTATTATACCCCACCCATCTGGCTGGATTTCCCCAGACACTCTGGGCAGCTCCCAACAAAATAGTAAAAATACATTAAAACATCAGTCATTTAAAACTTTCCTAAACAGGGCTGCCTTCCGATGTCTTCTAAAAGTCGAATAGTTGTTTATTTCCTTAAAATCTGATGGGAGGGCATTCCACAGGGCGGGTGCCACTACCGAGAAGGCCCTCTGCCTGCTTCCCTGTATCCTCACTTCTCGCAGTGAGGGAACCGCCAGAAGGCCCTCGGAGCCTTCTCTTATGGGGGTGGAGATGCTCCTTCAGGTATACTGGGCCGAGGCCATTTAGGGCTTTAAAGGTCAGCACCAACAACTTGAATTGTGCTCAGAAATGTACTGGGAGCCAATGTAGGTCTTTCAAGACCAGTGTTATGTGGTTTTGGCACATAAAGGGATATAAATATTAGAGCCAGTTCAGATAAAATTTCAGGAGCTCCTCACATCATCTTACTTTCTTCTCCTTCCCCTTCTTTGGAACTAGGTTAGATAGATCATCTGGGTATGCTCATTAATTTCAGTGGGTCTCCCATTAGTAAAACGTAGTTGAATATCTCTCAAAATGCCCATATTTAAAATGTGATTTTGAGCCAGTAACTGTGCCAGAACCTTTGAAAAGTGCAAGTGTTGATGGAAAACTAGCCATGCAGTTCTAACCATGTCTAATCAGAAGTAAATAATAAAATCCTACTGACTAAAATACTCCTTGCTTTGCATTAAGGAGGGTTAGGGCTGCAGCCAAGCCTGCCTTCCTCTTAGCACGTTTCTCCCTTTCGTCCTGAGTTCGAGTGTCTTCAAAGCCCATGACACCTTTGGTAAAGGCTGTTCTCCAACTGGAGCACTCACAGGCCAGTGTTTCCCAGTTGTCAGTGTTTATACTACATACTGCCTTGAGACAGTCTTTAAACCTCTTTTGCTGACCACCAGCATTACGCTTTCCATTTTTAAGTTCGGAATAGAGTAGTTGCTTTGGAAGACGATCATCAGGCATCCACACAACATGACCAGTCCAACGAAGCTGATGTTGAAGAATCATTGCTTCAACACTGGTGAACATTGCTTCTTCCAGCACACTAGTATTATTTTGCCTGCCTTCCGCGTCCAAGAGGAGCAGCTCAGGTCAGTTCCTGCCACAATTTGCAAAGATCAAATTCATCAAGCACTTCTACCTGATGTACATAATTTTGCAAAGTAATTTTCTCCAATAGAATATGCTGCTTTTACTAATATATTCATTTTGTGCACACTTTACTATATGAATCTTTTCTTACATGTTGCTTGGTTGGAGAACTGCGTTGCAAAATTCAGAAAAAGTGTGAATCTTGAAAGATCGCTGTGTTTCTGTTTGTGTATTGTTTCAGAAAGGGAGAATTCATTAGGTTCACCTAAAAATGCAAGCTGGATCTCCCCCTTCCCTACTGTATTTTGTATTACTAAAGTGTTACACATCATCAGTGCAGAATATCAGTAGCTGCCAAACCAGGGATAACCTTGGAAAATATTTACTGTCAGAATTCACAGGGGATCTTTTTTGGAGCTAGATGAGTTTTAGCTCCATGAAGGTTGGAGTGAAAGGCATTAGCTGGAAAAGTCACACAGAACAGAACCCGGAGTGCTATTAACAGCTAAAAAACCCCCCTTTTTTTCTTACTCAAGCAGCTAATGGCTCCAGTACATGGTCTTTTGATATTCCATGCTTCATTTATATTACAAATCTCATGGACTGCATCTGTGAAGTCTGTAATCTGCCGAGGCACATAATTACCAGATTTAAATAACAATATCTTGGTGCAGCTATAACTCCCACTGACAAAAAAAAAAGTCTTGAGGAAGGGAGGGGGAGTCTTTTGAGCTAATTTTAAATAGCCTTCCTCCCCGTATATCAAGAAAGCAAAGAACTGCATGTCATTTTGCAAAGTAACAGCACCAGGTGACATCAACTTCATAGCAGAAATATTTCTTTGAAATGGTGCAAAAATTGCAGGGGACTCTTGTTCCTTTATGCACAAAGAGTACCACAAACTAAACTAAAAAAGGGAAGCATTTTTTTAAAAAAGCATGTCTTATATTTCTATTTTGCCTTTCTTCCAGGGCAGGCAAGGATGGGAAGAGATATATTCCCCTCATCCGTGGCTTTCTCTTTCTCTTCCAAACCCCAAGAATGTGAATCTTGCAGAATTAGTTTAAGACATTCCTGTTGAAACTGGCATAATGTGGCCATAGATATATGGAGGAATAGGGTAGGGTAATTAGCATACTGTTAATTTTACCCCCTCTGGGACGTTGGGACCGGACGACTTGAATCTTCCGTTTCCAGAAAGGCAAAAGTTGGAGAGAGCTGTTGCTTTCAGGAGCTGAACAAATTACTGTATCAATGGCATTTAATAGCTCTTAATGTTATGGATTGGAATTATTTAATGTTACTGAAAAATGCTTTATCCAGCACAATGAAATCATTGATTACAAATTTATAGATTGCAGCAAAGTTATCGTGGGCTGAGCACTGGAAAAACTCTTAACCCCCAGCAGTTCAGGAATGTTGGCTGAAATATTTGGCTTTGACAGAGTTGGTTAAATTAACAGAAATAATCTGTAGGAACAAAGGATTTGCTATGAACTGAGACTTCCAGTTCACTGCAAAGGGGAAGGGGGAGCTGGTGACTTTCAGGGGAAGCCAGGGAGACTGGAGACTGTGCCTGCAGCGAGCTCCCTTCAAGCGCAAAACAATTTTATTATGTGTTTGGTGTTTGTATTTTGTATTTTTATGCTGTGAACCACCCTGAGATATTGAGATGAAGGGTTGTTAACAAACAAACAAACAAATGTGCCCCCCCAAAAGATTTACAATTTGTCTTGATTGAAAGGGCAAAACTCATCACAGTGCATCATGGGTAAATGGCCTGTTGTTCCCATGGTAACACCTTGTGGCTTCACCCAGCGTCACAATGGACAGCTGGCCTATAACAGGCTGGGACCAAGGCAAACATAACAGAGACATCAGGGCTGCTGTTCAGCCCACAGGTGGGGCTCCTGCTGTTCGCCCAGACCTTGCACACCAAAGGAACTGAAACAACATGGCGAGATTCCAACACAGCAGGAGCAGCAGCAGGAACTGCAAATGGATGGCGAAAAGGGGACGCCGTGGGGGCGGCTCCGGACGGCGGGGTAAAGGGAGGAGGAGGGGAAGACGCGGCGGAAGGAGAAAAGGTGGGTCTCAGGGTTTGTGTCTTGGGCCCCTCTTGAGATGTGGTCACGTTTGGTGTTGAATCTGGACATGGGGTAACTCTTTGGGCCTCCAGTTACCCATAGAGAGAACCAGTGGTGGCTGGCTCATTTGAGGCAAATAGGGCATGGGCCCACCAACTGCAGCTAGCCCCCAAACAGCCTCCCAGCTGCTTGCCTTCTTTCTTATATCCAGCCTAAGAGTAGCACTGTCTGGGGCAGCTTCTTCCAGATTAATCTCAGTGTTGCCATTCATAGAACTCAGCAGGGAGGAGAACATAGCTGTCAACTTTTCCCTTTTCTTGTGAGGAATCTTATTCACAATAAGGAAATTTCCCTTAAAAAAAGGGAAAAGTTGACAGCTATGGAGAAGAATGGGAGGAAAACTAGAATTAGGTGGCTGTGTCTGCCATTAGCTTTGGCGCCATCTACTGTTGACCTCCCTGCCTTCCACTCTACCAGTCCCAATGGACACTGACCACCACTGGAGATGGCCAAGATACTTGGGGTAACCTGGCCATCTGTACCAGGTTGCACCAATCTTTGAGGGACCATAGGCACATTTGCATCCTCGAAAAGCTATTGTTGAGTAACCCACACATCCTGCAACCAAGCACACAACACAACCTTTTCTACTGGGTTCAACAAAATGATTCTTTCAAGCATAATTTCAGCAGAGGTGCGTGAAGTGGATAAGGGGGCGAGGACCCCTGTGGGCACCGGGGAAGGCCTCTGCAAGCACCCTGAGCCGTATCATCTTGTCAAGTGGCCATGCTGACTGGGACTTCTGGGAGTTGTAGCCCAAAAAGTTCTGAAGGGCGTCAAGTTGGCCAATGCAGTTGTAGAAGATTCTTCATAACAATGGGTCTTGCCATGGGAGCATATTCACCCAGTTCTTTTCCAGCTGCACTGGCTTCCGGTGGAGTACAGGGTCAGATTTAAGGTGCTGGTTTTGACCTTTAAAGCCCTTCACGGCCTAGGACCCTTGTACCTACTGGACCGCCTCTCCATGTATGCCCCATGGAGGACCTTAAGGTCCATAAATAGCAACACCCTAGTGGTCCCGGGCCCTAAGGAAGTCAGATTAATCACAGCCAGGTCAGGGCCTTTTCAACACTGGCTCTGGCCTGGTGGAACACTCTGTCTCATGAGACCAGGGCCCTGCAGAATCTGATTTCTTTCCACAGGGCCTGTAAGACAGAGTTGTTCCACCTGGCTTTTGGCTTGGAATTAATTTGATCCCCTTTTTCTTTTTCCCTTTTTCCTTCTGTGATGGAACCCCTACTTGGGGACTTCCCTGGCTTTTTTTCTGGCCCACGTAGGACCACTCTGGATAGTTAGTCTTCGTGAAGACGTGACATTTTCATCCCAAAAAAAGTTTTTGAGTTTCTGCTGAAATGAGGCTACATTTTAATGTTGTATTTTAATCTTGTTTTTCAAGTTGTATTAGAATCAATTGTTTTATATTTGGTGTTAGCCTCCCTGAGCCCAGTCTTGGCTAGGGAGGGCGGGATATAAATAAAATTTATTACTATTATTATTATTAATGATCAAAACTGTTGTGCGGTAATTAACTTCCTCTTTCAGAAATGAACATGTGCCTAGCAAGAGTACTTATTTGACTTGACCCTGCCTTTATTCAATAGCTTGTTCACTTGCCCTTAAACAGCTCCTATATCAACCCTGTTCATTCATGGGAGGCACAACATTCTAGGGGAAACGGCCATTGGAGATAAGGACAGCAGAAGTGCTTGCTGGATCAGGCCAATGGCCTATCTAGTCCAGCATACTGTTCTTACAATGGCCAACCAGATAATAATAATAATAATAATAATAATAATAATAATAATAATAATAATTTATTTATACCCCGCCCATTTGGCTGGGTTTCCCCAGCCACTCTGGGCGGCTTCCAACAAAATATTAAAATACAATAACCTATTAAACATTAAAAGCTTCCCTAAACAGGGCTGTCTTCAGATGTCTTCTAAAAGTCTAGTAGTTGTTGTTCCCTTTGGCATCTGATGGGAGGGTGTTTCACAGGGCGGGCGCCACTACTAAGAAGGCCCTCTGCCTGGTTCCCTGTAACTTTGCTTCTCACAGTGAGGGAACCGCCATAAGGCCCTCGGCGCTGGACCTCCGTGTCTGGGCTGAACGATGGGGGTAGAGACGCTCCTTCAGATATACTGGGCCGAGGCCATTTAGGGCTTTAAACGTCAACACCAACACTTTGAATTGTGCTTGGAAATGTATTGGGAGCCAATGTAGATCTTTCAAGACCAATGTTATGTGGTCCCGGCAGCCACTCCCAGTCACCAGTCTAGCTGCCGCATTCTGGATTAGTTGTAGTTTCGGGGTCACCTCCAAAGGTAGCCCCACGTAGAGGGCACATAGATGCCTGAAGGAAGCCAGCAAACAGGATCTGAGCACCTGAGCACTCTCCCCTCCTGTGGTTTCCAGCAGCTGGTATTCAGAAGCATTCAGAGCATAGTCATCATGCTAGTGGCCCTTAGTATCCTTCTCCTCCATGACTTTGTCCAATCCTCTTTTAAAGTCATACAAATTTCTGGCTACCACTGTCTCCTGTAGGAGTGAGTTCCATAGTTTAGCTATGTGCTGGTGAATAAGTCAAAGTACATTCCAGCTTTATTAAACTAAATAGCTTTAATTCGACTTGAATAAATGTGCCATTAACTGTTAAAGTTTTGAATATTATTGTGCTATTATCATTCTTAGTGGGCTATGTAAACTGCTAATCTGAAAAATATTTTCTGTTGGGTGAAGGGCACTGGGGATGAGTTCATGGAAGCAAGCAGGGAGTGACCCGAAAAAGTTTGGGGACCACTGGGCTGGTCAACTTTCTCCATGAAATCCATCTTCCTGCACACTCTAGTTCATGGGTAGGCAAACTAAGGCCCGGGGTCTGGATCCGGCCTAATCACCTTCTAAATCCAGCCCATGGACGGTCCAGGAATCAGTGTGTTTTTACATGAGTAGAACATGTTCTTTTATTTAAAATGCATCTCTGGGTTATTTGTGTGGCACAGGAATTCATTCATTTTATTTTTTAAAAAATATAGTCCACCCCCCCCTACAAGGTCTGAGGGACAGTGGACCAGCCCCCTGCTGAAAGTTTGCTGACCTAGTTAGTGGTGATGATGATGAAGGGCCCATTCAAACTGGCCTTTTACACAACAGTTCTTTCCACATCCCACCCTTCAGATGATCTCCTATTCTTTTGTCCCCTTCTGCTATCATGAACCTTTTTCCTGTGCATTCATCTAATGCTTTGGTGCATTAGAGCATTTTTTTTTCTTTTGGAAAAAACCCCAAAATGGCAGCCAACAGAAAATATGGTGGAACCCATTGGTGGCTGCCATTTTTGCGAGTGCCAGATGCCATTTTGTTTCCTCTCCCACCAGTTCCCTACGTTAGCACAAAACAGGAGGGAGCAAAATGGCCAAGAGGTTGTGCTTCTCAAGAACTATGCTGCTTCTCATAGCCCAAAAAATTAAATTAAATTAGTATTAAGAATAAGAATAGTAGCCACTCACCTGTGCTACAAGGTAAGACTCCCCTCTGTGAACATGAAGGCGGCGCCAATGCTATTTTGCTAAGGACTCCCTCAAATTTGGGTGGGTTTCGCCAGCCTTGGTGCAGTGATTCTACTGCCCATAAGCCTCCATAAAACCTATGCTTGAACTAAAAAGGCCAATGTGAATAGGAGGCATGGAACATGCATGTCAGTGCTACCACCAATGTTCTGCACTCACACAGCCTCATGTGCATGATGATCTTGCCTACTTTTTAACATTGGCCTTCCTGTGTTGAGCAGGAAGGTCTGAAAGCACCTTCTAAGGGCATTTGGTGACCATGCTTGGAAGCATCCCCGGCCAACATAAGGAGAGTCCTGCTTAATCAGGCCAAAGGCCCACCCAGTTCACCATCCTGTTCTCACATTGGCCAGCATGATGCCTCTTGGAAGCCTGGAAGCAGGACCTGAGCGTGAGAACCCCCTTTTCACTTGCAGTTCCCAGCAAGTGGTACACTTTAGGTCTCAACATTTCCACATCAGTTCATGATTGTTGTTGTTGTTGTTTTAAAAGAATAGGCTTCATGAGGATTTTAGTGCAAATTTCTCCTAACATACACATTTTTGCAAAGCAAAAATTTCCCCAAGAAAGTATATTTCTGTATGTTGTTTGCCCTCATTTTTATGTACACTTTACCTTAGTATGTGAATTTTTTTGCCTATTACATGACTGGAGAACTGCACTGCAAAATGTAAAGAAGTACAGTCGTACCTCGGTTCTCAAAAAGAATGCATTTCGGGAGTCCATTCGACTCCTGGAACTGTTCGAAAACCAAGGCGCGGCTTCCAATTGGCTGCAGGAGCCTCCTGCAGCCAATTGGAAGCCACAGAACCTGCGCTGGATGTTCAGCTTCCGAAAATCGTTCAAAAACTGAAACACTCACTTCCGGGTTTCTGTGGTTCAGGAGCCGATTTCTTCGGGAGCCAAGGCTTTTGAGATCCAAGGTACGACTGTATGCAATTTGGAGGACGCCTGTATTTTTGGTTCTCATATTATTTCAGAAAGTGCTTTTCAGATAAGTTTGCCTTTAAATGGGAACAGAATCCGATTTCTCCCCTTTCCCCACTGTGAAAATAAATGGAGATGGATGCACTATAAAAAGTGTAAAATAAATAAATGAATGAATGAATGAATGTTGAGTAAATGAATGGACTATTTTTTGTTTGTTTGTAAGAAGGTCAAATAATTTGCCCAACCCTTTGCAAAGCCAGTGACTGGTTTCAGCTCAGCATTGGAATTTTGCAATGCATTCATGTACTTCTCTTTGGAAACAGCTTTTGTCAATGCCAATTAAGTCTTCAGCATGTGAAAAAGCTCTTGAGATACAAAGAGAGGCGACTCGGTGTCCTCCCCTATTTATCTACACACCACTCTCAGTCGTGGTGCACAGTCAAGTATCAACAACAGAGCAGAACACAGTGGTAAATAATTGATATTTAAATGATTGGCTGCTGAATAATACAAATCAACAGCATGTCACTGTCTCTTGAAATATTTCCAGCATCAGGAAAACAAAGCGAGGAATGAAAGCTGGAGAAAACTAGCGCATCACCATTGAGCCTCCATGTGAGGAGTGGTATATCTTTTAAAAAACATAAGTCTATAGTGAATGTATAACATTTTTACAGTCACAGAGATCCTCCAAAAGAACCCTAGGATTTAAAGGGATGATTTGGAAACCATGCAAGATGGATATGAAAGTCAGGATGGTGGATGTGAACTCACGTAATCTTCACCCCTGTGTCTCAGATTTTGCTCCATTTCAGATCCACAGTGAATACTATGACATGGTATGAAGGCTGCTTTTCAGAATTTTAACCCCACCCCACCTTTTAAAAGACGTATATTTAGCTGCTTAGAAAAGCTACGAAGTTTGGCTGCTGTGAAACACTAATGAATGTTGAATTTTCATGCATTTAGTTTTACCTCCTTTTGAGGTTTTTCAGTTAATTCTCTGCTATTTTTACCATATTGTGTCATTTTAAAATTTCTTAAAATGCTAACTTTGTTTTGATTGAGCAGATGAAATAAAATTGCAATATATAAAAAAAGGAAAAGAAAGAAAAGAAAAGAAAATGGTGCTGACAGCTCTCAGGAAGATTTTACAAAACAAAGACTATCCACATTAATGCATGACTGTCTCTATGGTTTTAAGTTCACACATTACTATTCAAGTGGAAGGGAACAAACTTTAAAAAAACAATAATGCAAAAACTGGCAGAGACCAAATTTCAACCTTTTTTCCAATAGAACCAGGGTGTGAAATCTGACAGAAACACGAGTCCTTAGAATTACATTGGCCCTAGATTTCTTTCCTCTTTCAAGAAGTCTAATAAGCGGATTTTTTATTTTTTTTAAATCCTAGTTGCTAACTGGTTTGGATTTGGGAGATGTGTGTGTGTGTGTGTGTGTGTGTAAGTAATTAACTGTTATTATATATATGTTTGCTTTAGGCATGTTTTCTTGCATTGTGAAATTGCTTTGAGATGCTTCCTAGGAAGTGATTTATAAATGAAATTAATGACAATAAGGCGTCAAACAGCACTGGGACAGATGCATTAACAAAGACCCATCACAAGGACTATACAACCCTTTGGGTCCTTTTCAACTCTGCAATTCTGTGATTCTATGGAAACCTTATTTTACCTTTTTCTCTCCAGGTGGCAAAAGCCGTAGAGGTGGGCGGAGGAGAAAGAGAACATGTCAGGCCTCATGAAACCCAAAGCCTCAGGCTATTGCCCTGTTCAATCTCTACTAAACAACACTCGAGAGCCATCCCCCATCAGACTACCTGAGGCAACCTCGCCCTACAAGATCCCACCAACTTGCTTGAGAATGAACAGTGTCCTCTGTCAATAAACTCTGAAATGCCATCACCACCACAATGAAATTTCTGGTTGGTTCTGTCATAGGGGCAATTGTTTGCAATGAGCAGCCTGGGAAACCCAGCCTGACAGGTGGGGTATAAATAAATTTATTATTATCATTATTATGTAAACTCCTTCATTTCATGCAAATAGTTGGCTGGCTAGGTTCTTGGGATGTGGGAGAAACAGCCTTTCCCAGATGAATGAATGGGTCTTTGCCATGAGTGTGCATTTGTTAGACTTTTAGTCTTGCTTTATACACATTTGTTTTATTTGTGTTTTTAACTATTTTTTATGATCTTATGTCTAAACCACCTTAGACAATGGTCTAGAAAGTGATCAATCAATTAATTAATTGCAATATTGGTCAGAATCATAATACAATCATACCTTGGATTCATGAGCCAAGGCACACTGGAGCAAACTTGGGGGAGGACTCCACTGAGGACACTATTAATGTTCACACTGGAGAGGAAGGGGTTAAAGTACATAGTGCCTCAGCTCATCAAAAAATGTGACAGCAGGGAAGCCAATGTTCTGGTTCCTTATGTGCCAGTTTTTTTAAAAAAACAGTCATTGGCCAAGGCTTTAAATTGAGGTCACTTAGAAAAGCGAAATAGTTTCAGAATGTTGTTTATTTCTTAAATTTTGTGTTAGTTCCTCCTTTCTTTCAGCCAGGGCTCAGGGCAGGTGATATTTAACAGGGGATAAAACATGAAGAGAATGCACTTGAAAGAGCTGGCCATCTGCTGCTTCAGACAAAGCATTCAATGCGTCATCAAGAGCACTCCCACATGGAAGACAGTAAAGGAGATGAACGATCAGAAGCAAACAAGCCTATAACATTATCTGCACACTGAATCGCTCTGGTGTGAACACTTTTCTATGGAAGACATGATCCTACCAGGAACATTGTTGGGCAAACACCGCTCCTTAAAAGTTCATGCCTTCAAAATGAAATATTACCTATGTGATTTAGTGTAGGATGCATCCAGCCATGAGCCGACCTATAACTGGGCCTTACTGTTTGTCCATGTAGTTCAGAACTGAGGAACCTCAGGTGCTCCAATGATTGTTGGACTACAACACCCATCAGCCCTGGACAACGTGTCCAGTTGGGATGATGGGAAATGTAGTCCAGCAGCACCTGGAGGGCCTGAGATTCCTCACCCCTAATCTAGTTGAATACAGTAAACTCTTGCCATGGCTTCCTAAGGCTGTTATGAAACAGTCCCTTCAAACTGAACACCAATGCGCAGGTGGGAGAGTTAGTCAGTGACAATTTAAGGGGTGTTTTTGCCCTCTTCCAAATGGTCTCAGCAGAGAAGAGGGAAGTTTCCATGGCTGTGATCTAGCATCTTCTCATTTCCCCATTTCCTGCTAGTTCGGCCAGGAGCATAGCCCTGACTGTCATTGCCATGGTTCTTGCTCTGGCGTGCTCTGGTGTTGCGGCATATCTGGGGAAATGAACCTGGTTTCAAGAGCACAGGGGAGCTGTCCAGCAGCTTCAGCACGTTTGTGGACTACGTATTGCTTAGTTGTGGAATTAGTAGCTGATCCATAGAGCTGTTGCGCCAGCAACCACAGTGGCCAGGGGTGTGGAACCTGTGGCCCCCCATTTGTTGTTGTTGTACTCCACATCAGCCCCAACAAGTATAATCAATGGCCAGGGATTGTGGGTGCTGGAGCCCAGGGTCTCCCAAAGGGCCAGAGATTCTATATCTCTGTACTAGACAGCAGTTGAGAATTGATGGAACAATTCTGGTTGCTCCACCGCATCTGGTGTCCTTGTGGGGCTCTGAACCTGACTGTACTTTAGGAAGCTTTCCTGTTTATCAGCAGGCTCTGAAATGGACTGCCTTGTGATGCCAGATGAGAACTGTGCTGTCAGTCCTGAGCTTTGCCTCAGGCTCACTGCCTTTTTTTTTTTTTTTGAGTTCCAGGTGTGACTATGGGGTGTCTAGAGTCAGGAGTGAGTCATTGGGGGCATATTAGATCACCCCAATTCTGCCATTTCTCTGATCCGTGAACCCCAGGCAGCATTTCAGCTTGGGTTATGATGTCAGGATGCCCTTGTTAGAATTCCTGCTCCATGATTGCAGTCATGGAATTTTTGTCTTTCACATGACGGTATATGTTTTGACTCCACAGAGTGGGAAGTGACGGAGACACTGTTACTGTGTTCCGTGAAGTGGGACTATTGTCCTTTGTTCTATCTCTCTTTGCTGTCTGATGCTAGAGAGAGAGGGAGCCATGTTGCAGGGCTCTGTGTGTGTTTATATGTAAATAAAGTAGATTAGCCAAAATGCTGAGTTTCTGAGGTCTGTTACGCAACTGCGCAAACTCTGCGGATCCCTAAGTGTGCTGATGTTGGTTGGCATCGGTCTCTGTGATGTTCAAGATGAAGAATGCTTCTGAAGCTCCCAAACAATCGACCAGGAGGGAGAGAACATGCCAGTCGGGCATATGTCTCTGCCAGGGTCCTACTCGAGTGTAGGCTGAACTCCTGACAGCCCTGTCTCCCTTCTTGTTCACGTTTGAGTTGTAGCCACTGTGCTGGTTTCACTAAATGGTCCTTTGGCCTGATCCAGCAGGGCTCCCCTTTGGGATGATGATGATGATGGTCCAGGGGCAGGGTGAGCCGCCCATAGGGCGGGACACAACGTGGGGCCTCCAGAGTCTGCCTGCCTCCTCCCACTCAGCCGCCCTACAGCAGGGGGAGAGGCAGTGGGTGGACCGTTTGGGCAGCATGAAGCCTGCGCGCGTCCAAGCCATCGCGACTCTCCCAGGAGAGACGTGTGGCTCGGGTGCACTGCAGGCCCCATGGTGAGTGCCATCCGGCATTTGTCACCTCCCTCAATGGTGACACCCAGAGCGGGCCGCACCCACCGCGCCCCCCTTCCCCTGCTCCTGGTGATGGGTCTAGTGGATGTGATTCTGGCCCTTTCTATGCATTCATTATAAAAGGCATGTGAGTAAAATGTAATTTATCTTATTAGCTATGCACGAAGCCATTTAAATATGTTGTTTGAGTGAGCACTAGATAATAAAAAAATGCAAATTCTTCGTGAGATTTATGCAGTAATGTAAAATGATGTACTGTATTGCCATCTGCTTTCAGCCACTTGGGTGTTATAAAGTGCAGCACTGCATCGGAACCAAATGATTTAGAGAAACATTTGAAGCGGCTTTCGGGGAGATGGAAATTGATCCAACAAAGGCTGCCATTTCCTATCTTAGTTCTAATCCAGGCAACACAGTTGCACAAGGTTTCATGTCAGTTCCTTGAACTACTTACCTGCAGGCTGGAAGCCTTTTCCAATTTCACCCTTACTGGGCCTTTCAGTCAAATGACATTTGAGTCACCTGCTTTCAGGCTTCTGCAAAGACAGGTCAAAATAAAATGGGATGGTTTCCTTATGAGAGGTTGGCAATACAACAATAGCATTCCCAACAAAAGCACCTACTACGAATTTGGGATCATGGTGATGATTGACAGCAATGAATGTGGTAGTTAGTAGGTCTGTGCCCTAAGCATCTTACAATATAAAATTTGACACTGGTAGAGAAGACATACAAAAGCAGCGAGGGAAGAAGGTAAATGAGAGCAGATTTTGCTTGCATTTTGCTAACAAGGCATGCTGATTTGATAAACTGCTTCTCCCAGGAAAGGCTCAAGCAACTCATCAGTTTTGATACAGGACTGAAATACATGATCAGCGCATCCATGCAGTGCAACTGTCATTGGGTGGAACCATTTCAGACTGCAGGTGGGGAAAATGTGTGAGTTTTCCTCCTTGCAAAACCTAACAGCTACTTGCACATGGGAAACTAGCACGTCAGGCAGAAGACTGAACTAGAACTGCTCTTGCTAACATTCAATGTTTTATATTTGCACAGAGTTTTCAATATGGGAGAGAATTCAAACAACCAATTCCCACTGCCACTTTCAGCCTGAAATGGCCCAGCCCAGCGAAAGCTGTACCACATAACGGCTCTGACAGTGCCTTTCAGCTCCAAGAAAATATAGACAGTTCACCTGGAAATGTGGGGTGTTTCTTGTGTTATCTTAGCACATATAAAGCAGGGGCAATGTGGTGTCATTATGCAGATTATAGAAACAGGAGAGAGATATTAAAGTGTTCTTGTGAAGGAAACTTAAGATTGTGCAGGGGCTTTCACAGTGCTGCATATGAATAAGGGATGTTATAACATCCCTTATTCATATCAACACAGATCTGTGGTAACATATAATACAAATCCTCAGCAAGAACTCTCAGTATTGGGGTTCCTGTGACAACTTATTCCCTGAACTAACCTGCGGGACCTGACATCCTTTTGCAGGGCCTGCAAGATAGAGCTGTTCCACCTGGCCTTCAGTCAGGGCCCAGTTTGACCCCCCCCCCATGGGACCCTGTAAGTTACCTCTTTGGCCCTTTTATCGGCTTATGTGGGACCAACATGGATAGCTGGCCCTGATGAATACTTGAGGTTCCCGACCCCTATGGTTGTAATTCATGGGCAGTCATTTAATTTTATCCTGATTCTAATTTTTAAGCTGTATTTTAATCAATTGTTTGATTGTGTTTTAATGTATTTGATATTTGATGTTAGCTGTCCTGAGCCCGGTCTTGGCCGGTGAGGGCGGGGTATAAATAAAAATTTACTGACTTACTTACTTACAAAGCTGAGGCATGATGGAAATGAAAACTGCATTATTAAAGGGGGAGAAAATGCCATCATTATTAGAATGGCAAAGCAAGCTCTGAGTTTGTGGAAATGGCAGAACTGACGGCAATCATTAGAGGCCATTCAAATCAGAGAATAATTAAAGAGTTGGATGGAGTGAAGGAATACATGAAAAAATATGGTTCCAGAACTGGAATATTAATAGATCATGTGTAAAACGTGCAGGGGTAAGCAAGGAAATAATAAAAGAATCAATTGAATAATTATTAAACTACAACAACACAACAAGATGGAAGAAGTAAAAAAAAATATTGAGATCACACATGGGTGAAGGGGAGTGGGGGGTATAGGGGAATTTATAAAAATTTCTAATACAGTGGTGCCTCGCAAGATGA